TGATCAAATAGCATAGAAAAATAGAACATTCTTTTCTCTATCAGACTATATAAAAAGAAAGTTTCTTTAACCTTTCTATAAGGGATAAAAATACCACTGCCACTACTTTTGGTATGCCCTAAGTATACATGACTTGACTTGACTTTTTATGCCAAGTCACAAGTCAAGTCTTTTAAAAAAATTTTCAAGTCATGAGTAATCAAAAATTTCCCAGGTCAAATTAAGTCAAGTCAAAAATGACTTGACTTGTCCAGCTGTGATTTAGAAGACCTTCGGCATAAAGAGTCTACCAATTATCTACATACGAAAAAGTGTAAAGCAAATTTTTTCAGTTAAATACTTGAAGAAATCTACTGACAGGGTCTTAACCACTTGAATCTTTTTGAGAACAAGAATCAAGTCAAACATTTCTTGTAACAAGATCTTGGTTTTAAGATATTTTTTCACTAGGATTTGTATCGAAACATAACTCTTTCAAAACATTCTGGTCATTTTGACATTTTATGTATTCTCATTTTCGTCGTTAATCTAGCGTATGGAATGAGTTTGTTAACAAAAAAACGTATAAAACGCCTTGAAAGTGACACAAGAAGTTGAATTGCGTCGCACACTGTTCTAGACTATTTTTAGTCTTAAAAATGAAATCTGTTTTTTCCTTCTGACAGTTCTACCGCCAATATAAAGACATGATTGCCATGTTTCATTTGATGACTTGAAATGGTGACACAATAAAGGAAGGAAGTACACGTAAGCGGTTTGACAAACTTCCGACTGTTCTGATAATGGGTTATCAAAGAGATTTTTGCGTTTTTTACTTTTTCTTAATACTTTACTGTTCAGTTAAAATACAATATTACTAAATATAACGGTCACGATGGTCTATTTTTTTGTCTGTTCGTGATTACCGAAGAATTTTAATCTGTCTTTCTGAGCAATTAAGTATAAAACAAAAACAAAAAACAAAATAAGGATTTGAAGTATTCGTATCTATAGCATGTTTTCTATCCGATTAAATAGTTAATGATACTAAAATGAATAACGAACTTAGATTATTTTAGTCTGTTTAAGATAGTTAAAGAACGGAAAAGACTTCAATTTAAAAAAAATAATGTCTGGACACATCTACGCCTCTAAAACTCTATGTTTTCTTTTGACTCAGCTCATAGAAATTTAGTATTACAGGAAGATGTCGTATTTTTGCTCCAACTGCCGATAAAATACAGACTGTAACAAAATATCTAAAGCTGTTAAATGAGTACTTAAACTTAGGTATGCACCAGTTACAGTTTTTTACCAGTTAACTGTAACTGTGAAAACTGTAACTGTCATAACAGTGTAACTGTTATAACTGTAACTGTCATAACAGTGTAACTGTTATAACTGTAACTGTCATACATTTTAAGGATGTCTCTGTTCTTAAAATGTCTCCAAATCGTAGAAGACTAATTCACTCTAGAATATTTGTCTACAGTTATGAGCAGTTACAGTTTTGACAGTTACAGTTTTACAGTTTTACAGTTAACTGTAACTGGTACATGCCTACTTAAACTTTCTACATTAGAAAACAAGAAATAAAAGAAACATTTAGAAATTTGTCGTTTTTCTACGGCTTAAAAAAGCCAGAAATAAAAATGAGCGAGTTAATATAATTCGTTTATAATTTTCTCTTGCTTATTTTTGCATACAAGAAATAATTGTTCTCTTAATACGTATCAAGTAATTTTGTTGTTATTCAAAATACTGACGAATGGTTCATTTGATTCGTTTCACCAACCAGTATATATTTCTCTCACATTACTTCGGCGGGCATTATATAACAACAAGACTGTTGTGCATATAATATCACTTTGTTCTGTAGTTATCTGCTACCATCCTTGTTAATTCATTTGTTTATCATATTTTTGTCTCTATTCCGTCACTTCTTGATTAAATCGATTGTGATTGGTTGTGATACATTTTGATGAATTATTAATTTGAAATATTGTTGGTATGTAAGAATTGGTTTCTTTGTTTTAGCATCGTCATTACAACGACATTTTGTCGAAAATAAATTGGTGAACAAACATTCTGAAACATTCTACTCCAAATTAATTTAATTTTTTCAAATTAAATATTTTATGATAACCATTTCTAATCAGTTGACAAATGATTACTGTTGAAATATTGACTATAATTCGACGCGGCGTAAAACGTTTCTATTTTCTATACATTTCTGGTATACTTTCAGTTAATTTGAGCAACATTTTTTCATATGATCAAAACGAATTACAAGCAACAATTTTTGTTCGTTTATTAATTATAAATGACTATAAACAACTGCTTTTTCACTATTCAATCCATATTTGTCTGTTAATGTTTCATCAACTTGAATACGCTCTATTTCAATGTTTTTATTTCCATAAAGGTCTGTATGTGAATAAATCGATTTAAAGTTTGTTTCCAAACCAATATTAATCTCATTTGATAATACATTATTACGAACGTATCTGACTAATACTAAAAATTGTGATAATAGAATTTTGGTAATGCGGATGTAAATATGATAGTATTAACTTAATCAAAATAACATCATAAGTTTTAAATAACAAAACAAATTCTAATACCACGTAGTCTGTTCTCTCAATTCATTCGTGGTAGAATGCTGATGATTTCAAGAATATTGAATTTTGTTAATAAATCATCGTCTTCAACACAATCAGTATACCATCTTGTTTATTTTGATTTCGTTGTATAATTGATCTTATTGGATAATGGCAAAAATTCACTGTTTTTCTTTGATACATGTATCCTATTTTGATTATTCGTCGTACGATTATTATTCGTTTCATCATTATTACTATATATCATCCGATTATTTAGTAGACTTGAACGAGAAATATTTGTGTTGCCATTCGTACGATTTCAGTTCATGATCAAACCATTTCTTTCAGCTTAATCAAAAGCTACATGATCATAATTATTTTCCGAATTACGTTGTCTTCTGCGATCCACGTAAATTTAATTCCCATTTTGATGCATAATATCTTTATCTTTGCAGCAACATGTGAGGTTGTACAACTTAGATTTTATTGCAGAAATTGACGTTCAATTTCTCTCAATCTTGTTATTCACTTCATCTTTCTTTTGTTGTACAAATAAGTAATTGGTTGCATAAAATACGGTTAATTATTGCAAAATAAAGACATCAATGAGAACAGAACGATTAATAGAAAAGATGTATATGTGGAGACGAATGATATTGATCCTTTCACTTCATACAAATAGGGGGAACAGTTTTTTGAGTCTATGTTATCACAAAATAAGCAATAGTTTAAAATGCACGAATATTCTATATCAAACAAAAACCTTGTTAATCGTCAGTTTGGTTTCTTCCATACATTTGTTCGATTTTACAAATTGAACGAACGAATAACGCGTAAGTGTTTATTCAATATATGTTCAAGATGCTTGATTTTTTCATTCCATAGTAGACACGTCAATGAAAAGAAAAAATAATTTAAAAAACCATAATGGAAGACCAGTAAAGTATTAGGTTGTTTCTTCTTGCAGTACAATAATTCTCAAAAAACTCACATAAAACACGAACATGAGTAACGTTGTATTATGAAAAAAGGAGAGTTTGATGTAACAAATACTGTTTATATAACTAACGAAAGAGGAAGCAAAAAAAATACGCACATGTCTACGAAATAAAACTGAAAGTGGAAAACAAAATGAATAGAACAGGTATACTTGACAAAAGAGATGTGGATCGACCAAACTGATGAATCTGTGGACTTAAACAGACCGTTTTTTCTCGCATGGTAGATGGAATTAGACTATCTTGATAAAACATATTATTGTTCAAATTTACTTTCATAGAAAAAAAAACTAAAAAGAGGAAGTAATTGGAGCTGTACTTGAGAAATTAGATACTTTTCCTGTACAAAAATAAAAATCAACTTGGTTAAAACGAAAAGAAAACATAAAAAGTAAAAAACAAATAATTTCTAAATTAAGAAGTAAGAATTCTATTTACATAGGGAATGTATACATCTGACAGATCCAAGATTTTCTGCTATGTTTATCTATTATATTTTGCTCTCACATCATGTGTGTGGTAAATGAAAACAAAGACACAGTAACTGATATGAAAGAAAACTGTGAAAAATGAATTTCATTGATAAGGAAGACGAGAGATCCGTTTCAATTATCAAAAGGAGAATAAGAGAGAAATGCAAAAATAACAACAACAACAATGAACATAAAGACGTAAAAAAACACTAGATAATCAGTGATGGAAAACACTTAGAAAAAGAGTGTTGCATAGAAAGCGACGCTCCATTCAAAGTACCTACATCGAAAGCTTTTCTTATAAAATCTGAAATAGAGTTAAACTGTTAATTTTTTCATATTAGAGTTAGTAAGTGTCATGCTGTGTTTTCCTTGTTAACGACGATGATGTTTGTTGTAAACCTGTAATTAGTAGGTACAGACAAATACATATGAATGTAAGTTAAGATAGATCACTTGTTGCACTAGATGATACTCCGATAAATATCGAATTTTTTTCTTTTCCGATTTCACTAGATATTTAATCAATTCTTCTGTTCCTTCGAGTAAAACAGGTGACTATTCACTTTTTTTCTTTTGATATAAACGATTTCTGACAAAAGAAAAACGTTTGTATCAAGACTAATCGAGAAATGAAAAATCGATTTTTATCTCGGTTATCATAGGCATTCAAAAGAACCATCTGTTTTATTTCAGAGAAGTCTAAATATTAGTAAAAGATCATAATTTTCGAGATCTATGGATCAACTAATGTTACCTGATGGGTCAAAATTCTTGATAAATGCGTTAAGTAAGTCTTCTTCAGACCACACACGACTATTTAATACTGATATTAAATCATGTGGTAATATAAGTTCGGATGGCGTGTCGCTTCTACTTGTCGATGGTGATAAAAATGGACTCAATACGCCACATGCAGCTGGACTTAAGGCATTTTGAAAAAGCTATAGAGAGAAAAATATAACTTATATACAATAATATTCCGATGGAACTCATTAAACATACTTGAGACAATGGACTTTGAAAAACGCGATTACTCGGTGAGAAAAATTGACCTAGAAGAAAAAGTTAAGAAAATAATATATACAGAAAAAAAAATACCAAAAATACCATTCGCAGTTGAATTTGTTGTCATTCCTGTATTAACTGAAGAATTTGTTGTTGCTGTTGTTGTTGTATGCCGAACAAGACCGTCTTGCGTTTGAATTAATGGTACAGGACGTGGTATACTTTGTGATGGAATTACAGCACTAAACTGTGTCACTTTTGTTGGACTAATAGCGTTTTTATTTGAGTCTGGTGGTGAACACTAGGCAAAAAAAAGACAAACAACTTTTTCAATAAAGAAGAATTGAATTAAAATTGTTTTACCTCATTTAAATCTCGATCTTGTGACTCTGAATCACCATTATAAGATGGATCAAATTTTAATGGACGATTTAACGCATGAGAAGGCATTTGACTGAGACCATTTAATATATTCACTAAAACGAATTTTAAAACTTAGCTATAAAATAAAGTATTATTCGTCGTACATACTTGATTTTTCTTTTCCATTAGCTCCTCGACTGGTACTCGCACTATTACTATTGCTATTGCTATTTGAAGCACTACCAGATAATCCCCACGCGGCTGGACTCAATGGTGCTCCATGACGATTGTCTAATCCGTGAGGTGTTTCTAGTCCTGTTTGTGATTCACTTGATTGACCACTAGAATTTCTTGATCGTTGTCGGCTAACTTGATCAATTTGTTTTTGCAATTGTGTACTACGTGTACCTTGAAAAAGTGGAAAAATACAACATTAGTAAAATAAAATTCGAGCTATTATACGAATATAGAACAAAAAGTGCCTTAATGGAAGTCTTTTTTGAAGTTTCAATACAATTTGGTCTCATTTGAATTATTTGAAAAATAACTAAGATTTGAGATAGTGTTATGTTTAGTAAACTAGTAATCTGTACGATCCATTCGCTTTCAAATGACACAAAAGTTTTGAGCCGCGTATTAATAGAGCTCACACACTGTCAGTTGTATCGAGAAACAACTCACTAGCTTCATGATGGGTTAATATCTTAGTTTCAAAGTCTCCAAAAAAGAAGTTTGATATAGAAGTTTTGTGTACTAATTAAAACTACTTGAACTAAGTATAGAAGAGATTAATAAAGAACAAATAGCGGTTAAAAAAGAGCTCACTATATTCTCATTGTATCTGAAACAAGGGAAAATCTATTTCAAAGCTGTCTCTGCACTCGCGTGTTTGTTTCTCTATTATTTATTAGTGGTGGAAAAGCTCGTTTTAGATAAAATATTTTAGTTCCACTTATGAGTTTTTCCTATTCTTTAATATATTTTACGTACGTTCTTGTTCGTATAAAAGCATTAATAATTCACAAATTGATTGACCACTTGATTTTGATGCGTGTCCTTGTGCATTTAGTTTATTACTGTTATTATTATGATTTCCATTTGGATTGTTGCTATTGTTGTTATCGTTGCTATTATTATTTATTGTAATCGTACTCGGCGTACAACTATTACTGTCATTTGATCCTGTTGTTATCATTGTTTGTGTTGTCGACATCTTATCATCATCACTTTTATTATGAAACAATTTTAACTTTGTTGCATCTTTAGTTATAGATTCTTTGCCGATCATAAATTCTTCAACTTCGCGATCGTGTAAATGTCCATCATGATCTTGTAACAATGGTATATCATGATGTTGATGAGAATGATGGTGCAAATTAAATAAAGTCGATGTTAATTCACGTCTCACTTTTTCGGGAGTAATTTTTTGAGTCTTATCGTCCAAATTCATTCTTAAATGACGATTATCTGAGGAATGTGACTGTGGTGCTTGTTGAAAACGAATTAAATCCATATTGTTATAAGATTTCATGTTGTTGTTGTTATTGCTGTTATTATTATATGAATCCATTGGATTATTGACTATTTGTGTTCGGGTTGGTATTATAATTGGAGTATGGTCAACCGAAGACATTTGTTGATGTTGAGGTTGTTGTATAGTGGATGAACGATATGTTTCAGAAGGTACTGTAGAACGTGTTATTTGTTGAACATGATTATTTTGTGTTATTTGAATAACAGATTGAGTAGGTGAAAGAACAGACTGTTCTTTATCGGTTGTTTTTACTAACAAATTTGCTATATTCGATACAATTTGTTTTGATGAATTTTGTTGATATTGTTGATTATTCGATGTAGTTGCAGCATATTCCAGGAGTTTTTCGGTCAAAACAGATGGTGGAACAGACAATGATTTTTCAATTGAACCTATATGAAAGAAATATAGAAAATCTATCGAAAGCACTTGGAAGATGTAGCTTTTCATTTTACATATAGATGCTACGAAAAAATGTGCAATTGACATTTACAACTAAATTTTTAGTTTTCTACTTACTCGAACGAGAAGACTGTTGTTGTTGTTGTTCTTGTACACGTCCACCATTTTCTTCTCGTATATTTGACATTAAACGTTGTGAATTGTTATTCATAACCATTACAACCTGTGGTTGAGTTTTTAATACTATTTGCCCATGATCTGACATACCACTAATTGCTCCGCTTCTTACGGCCTGATCTCGCTCTAATTGTATAACAGACTTTGCTGTGGATGGTGGAGGGGGAGGTGGCAGTGTTGAAGTAGGTACGTTTTTTAACTGAGTGGGAGAAGGCTGATCTAAAATGGAATACAAAGGTGTAAGAAAAATATAGTCAAGCTATACTTTATAAATTATACCGGTTGGTACTAATTCAATGACAAGGCCCATTTTTTGTAAATATTCTTTTAAATCTGCTAACGTAGTAAATTGTGGTAAACTTTGATGCTGATGAGTTGACGTCAAACGTAAAAGATTATTTGAACTCATATCATTGTTGACCGGTTCCTTCGGCAACGATGGCTGTGAATCCTGTTGTTTTCCTTCATTCATCATATTTGGAGAAGACTTGAAATCACTGAATCTTGCCGTATAATTTGTATTCTTGTTTGACGAATATGTATTATGTAATGGTTCTAATAAATTCGATTGATCAAAACTTTGTTGTTGTGTTGATCGGTGTTGCTGAGGCATTTGATGAATCATTTCTTGTTGTTTAGCTGTCAAAATATTTGTTGATTGTATAAAGGAACTTTTTTGATGTTGAGGAATTGTTGGTCCATTTGACAGAGTTGATGATGTCGATGGTACAGGCGTTGTTGAATTGTTATTGTGTGATGAGAATATTATATTTAAAGATGATGGTCGTTGTTGATCTAATACTGATTGATTATTCATCGAACCTGATTTTGTAGAATCTTGACGAAAATATTCGATAGTGTGAGGATGAGTCGACGTACTTTTTTGTTGATTATTCTGAAAGCGCTGTACAAGCGTTTGTATTAAACGATCGGAAACGTCCTTTGAATCAGAGATATTCGTAGTATATGGGACGGGAGCAGGCGTCTGTGGTTGAATCGGTACTTGTACAGGTGGAGGAATAGCTGATGGCTGTTGTGGTGTTTGATTATTAAAATGCAACTTTAATGATACGTGATTGTGAATACCAATTTGTGAAAATGGCCTGGACGAATCAGTACCTTTATCAACAATTTCAGAACCTGATGAAGGAGGCTGCATTTGTGCTTGTTGCTGATAAGGTGACATATCATTGCTAGGGCTATCCTGATTAGATGTTGAAGCTTTTATGTGAAGACTAACACCTGATTTTGGAGATATACTTCTTAGTGAGCCATACATGACCGGCTGTTGACGCGATGAATCATTGTTTTGTTTTTGAAATGATGACGGTGTAGTCAACGTAGTGTAATTTGTTGAAGCTGATGAACAAGAACAGACGACTTGATTATATTTTTCATTATACTGTTTATCACCCATGGCTGTTGTAAGTGAAGATGAAGAAGATTGTTTTATATTTGATGATATTGTTATAGAAGATGATGATAACTGCGTGATATTTTGTTCATTTTTTAATGCTGGTTGTTCATTTCGTTGTTGAAAAGGAGTTGTTGAATCTAGCATATCATAAGAATGAACTAGAAATGAGTACATATAAAGTCACGTCACTTATAAAAGAACAAGTTATGAGCGTGGTATTAAAAACACTTTTCTTATTAGCAAAGCAGAACATTTACCGTTCGATGCCGATGCGTCTGGAACTTCTCTTCCGTCTGTTTCGTCATGTGAACTTGGATTAGCAATTGTTCGTCGACGTTTAGCTGTTCGTGGACTTCCGGATAAACTTGGCTTTCTATAAAACGAAACAAACGATGGAAAAGTGCCACATTGACTGGATGGAAAAAAATCGTCAATTCTACCTGCTACGGCACATTTTCAATAAGTCTGGTTGGGAGGGAATATTCTGTTCTGTATATTCATCTGTTTCCATTTTCAACATTGAACCAAGATAATCTGAACCGATTACATCTTTCATTGAGCCACCTTCGTCAATTGAGGCTAGAAATAAAAAATTGACTTGTTCAGGCCAGACATGAGCAATTTTTCTACTAAAAACTCTTACTAGATGATAATAGTTGTAAATCATTGGTTGAAAAAACACTTGGTATGATATTTTTATTTGTAACCATTGATTCTAGAATATGGGAAATATAATATTATGCCGCGCTAGTATGTCCAAACGAATGTATGACACTACGTTCTGATAAAAAAAGGCTTCTGATAAACAGAGCCAGAGAAATTATTAACTGGAACCCTTACGTTCTTTAGCATTAATATAATTCACTAAATACACTTCTAATTCTTTGACATGTAGAACAACATGATATGGATTAATGCATAATGCCGGATTTTTACATTCTTTACATTTTGTTAGTCGTTCACCATCTGTTGATTCGAGTGGTACTATAAAATAAAATTGATTTTTTAAACTATGATTTCAATAGTTAACAAAATTTGGTTTTTCTACTTACTTCCACGAAATAAAACAACCATAACAACGTCTAAACGCCATACTTTATCGGCTTGTCTTAAACAATCAATACGGCGCATTTTGTTTTTCGTATCCGGATTACTTATAATACACGGACCATTCACAGATTGATTTGATATGGTCTTAACGAGTTCTTGTCGACAATCACGATAAATGTCTTTTCGCAATTTTGCCAGAATACGGACGGCCCATTTAATCTTATTTTCGTATGATTCATGCTAGAACAACCAATAACAATAAACAATCACTCGCTACTGATTAGGCAGAAAGATAAAAATTTTCTGCCTAGAATAGAAACCATCTTCAGAACTAAATTGGTTCTAGTTTATTATGATCAACGAACAAAAGCAATAGATAATAGAATGATACTTTAATCTAGTGTAAAACCACAACTATTTTCTTTTACTTATCAAAGATTTCTGTACATACACAAACAATGTTTTACTTCTCTTAACTACACATAAAAACTGAAAGATGACTGGGAAGTTAAAAATACTTTCAAATAGCACAAGTCCACTTTAAGGCAATATTCGTAAGAAATAGAAAATTCTAAGCATTTGTTTATTAAATAAAACCATAAACAAACCATATATTCTTCTTTTAAACCTTTTTCCAATTCGTACGGCAATGGTGTTTCATGCTGAAAAAAAGAGAATGCAAAATTAGTTGCATTAACACACTACTACGTCGTAGATATTGCCCATTTGTCAGCTATAGGCGATATAGGTACTTTTACCTGTTTTAAATACCGTCGCTTTGAACTTTGTAAATTAAACCATGTATAGGAAAAAGCCTTGACGTATGGAATCAATGCTTCAATACATTCGCTGCCTTCGAACTAAAAAGAACAATGGTTAGGGAATCAATCTAAATTAATAATGACAATGTTTCAAAGAGAAATTTCTTACTTGTGACATGGTGTAAGTGATACTTTTTCTGGATTATAATGAATCTTTTTAGAAGAACGCTACATTATTATTTTTGACTATCCGTATTTCTTCCCCTATCTTTATTGTATAACAAAAAAATTTTCACCAAATGTGTTTTAATCAGTCTTTGCATTTAATTAATTTCATATCATATTTTGTTTTGCGCTGCTATTTTTGTGTTATTTTCTGATCTGAATGGAACGGAATAATTAATTAATCGATCAGGCATAGTCTCATCATTATGACAAGAAAGCAAAGTATAATTTTTTTGATTGGCTAGGAGACATAGCGTTCTATGCACTAAGAGTTGTCAAAAATCATACTTTAGTTTTAGTCAAACCTGACATCTAGGGAAACAATTAATCATTTTTGATTCTCTGCAAACAGAAAAGAAAACAACTCGCTTTTATATGAAATTCACAGAAATTAGAACCGGTCTTCCGGGTAGGTTTATGCTTCAAATTACTTTTTACACTTCGAAAGTATAAAAAGTACTCCAGTATAGTATAGGAATAATTTTCTACAGAAAGTTTGGAAATAAAATTTGTTCTTTCATGTTTTAGTTTTTATGTTGAAGTCTTTTCATCTAATTCATTCGTTGAGATGACAGATGAAAGCGCCACGCCCCGCTTCTTTACTCATCGATCGTAGAAATGCAGATATTTATATGGGAAAAGGCATGCTTATACAGATACAAATGACGCACGCTTATACAGCTTATGTGAATAATAGAAAAATTTTAATGTATAAGTAATAACTATATTTTGATCTTTCTAGATAGCCTCATATGTCACAATATTTTAGGCCTAGGACTATTCGGATCCATCACGAATAAGCATATTTACGAAATTTTCTGGCTGCCAAATTTCGCCCTAATACGGCTGTTGGAATCCCGGATTATCTCTAAACATCGAGCTATTTCCGACTGCAGGATCCGACCATATCCAGGGAGTGGATTCGCAAAAATCCGACAACCCGAATTTAACTGGAATCACTCGTACTTTAAGATACAAAATTATTCTATAAGATCAGAAACTTTTGACGTAAAACTTTTTGTTGAATGTAGAACCTGAGTTTTTATATTGGAAAACATGTAGTTTAGTCTCGTTTAGCAAGATCTTGGAATATTTCTTGCGCAAGAAGTGTTTATGATGCATTTTTTAGCGGATTTATGTAGAAAAATTTCAGTGATTTTCCTCAGACTCAACAGGATTCGATGTATTCTGGTGAAGGATCCTGAGAGATTCCGTCTGGATCTGATACTCGGAAGTCGCCGAAACCTGATCAAATTCGGCGCTTTGCTGACTGGATCCGTACAGATTTATTCATTAATCTTGGCAAATCCAGCAGTGTCCGAGTCGAATCTAACAGTTATCGACAAGGTCCGATGGACGGATTCTATGATGTGAAGTAGCATCTCTATATTTTTCCTAATATAATTTTATCCTATGTCGAATATGCTCCAGACAACAAATAGATTTGTATACAAAAATGACTGGATGCGCTTTGGCGCTACATCGGGATACTAGCTTTATCCTGTTCCTATTCCAGTACTCTATTACTAGTACAACTATTACGCCTGTTGGTAATCCATCTGTAAATAGACAGGTATATCCGAAAACGCGTTTTCTCTTTTCGTTTATCTGATAGTGTATTGCAAAGTTGCATAGTCTTTCATTTCTAAAGTCGTTCATTCAAAAGTCGATATTTCTAGATGCACACTAAAAAATAATGTGTCGCATGTGTCGCAAATGCGACATAATCATCTGCGACACCTGGAGCCACTTGCGACACATTTTTTTCATTGAGACTGCGACACGTTCTGCTGTGTATTTCTACTATAAAGAAAACAGTGGAAATTAGGTACTTTTGATCTATTATTCGGTTTTAAGAATATTTTTAGTTCGTTTTGGGTGCACTGCGTAATTTCGCTGAGCTCAATCCGCTCGTAATACCCTAGTCGAGACTCCCGGCAAAACTCCCACGGGACTCCAATCACGGGGTCCTGCGGGTTCCTGTAAGAGTCAGGTGGGACTTTCAAGGGATTTCTCAGGACTCCTCAAGACTCCCGTGGGACTTCTGTGGAGCTTTCGAGTCCTGCGGGAGTCCAACGAAAGTCCTCTGAATCCTCAAAGTCCCACGGGAGTCTTGAGGAGTCCTGAGAAATCCCTTGAAAGTCCCACCTGACTCCTACAGGATACCGCAGGACTCCGTGATTGGAGTCCCGTGGGAGTTTTGCCGGGAGTCTCGACTGGGGTATTCACAGACCTTCAAAATATTCAGTTTCCCAGAGCTGAGATTAATAGCGTAGTCCAGGCCGCGGATTGGTTAGTTTTCATCAAAGAAAAAATGTTTAACATAGAAAAAAGGTTAAAAAGACTTAGACAGGGATCTTTAGCCACGAATAGCATCAATGCAAAATCGAAAGAACTTAAAAAGCCCGAAAATTTTCTTATCTTTTACGTATTAGCGCCACCTATAGCTCATCGAAATTGAAGAAAAGCCGAGAAAAATCCTAATAAAGACTATTGAAAACAGATAAGATTTAGCAAGCTTTTTAACAGAGTAGATCTTCAAATGGCCTCAAGAACTGTGTCTAAAAGTTCTTAGTAACGGCGACACAAATTTGCGACACATTCTTTTGCGACACAATTTTCTCACATGAGCTGCGACATATTTTACTGCAACACAAAGTGCGACGCAATATTTTTCATTGTGTGGTTATCGTAGTATGTACACTAAAAAATCGACATCTTATATCGTAGAAGACACCTTATGTGTCGATCAAGTGTAGATATTTGAATGTGTCTTTCTGAAAGGCACAAAACAGAAAAGAGATATACCTGTGCAGCGGAGATTTAAACTCACTATCTTATGTTTTGGAAGTCGTATGCAGTCATCATTACATCACAGGACCTACTTAAAGATTAGGACTTGTGTTTGGATTGTTTAGATCACAACTTTGCACTAAATATAATTTTATAGCGGCGCTCACAACTTGGTCTAGCGTAGAGGGCATAAGGCAAAACTCACGTGTATCATGACCAATACTTTTACGACATTGACTCGATTTCCGGAAAATCGACTTGTGATGTTGCAAACGCTGCATGGCTTGTTCTTCATTTTCGCGCTCTTCCTCATTTCAGCAGACCGTAATGCAGTATAATTCCACTGCCAGAATCTTCGTGCCTCCCTTGAGTGTATAAAACGCAGATACCCAGACTGAGATGTGAGACTATGTTAACGCGAGAAAAGCATTTCCATTTTTCAGTTTAAAATGTCTTGCTGTTAAAAGTGTGTTTATTTTTTTATAGTTATAGACACATGCTTAGTGATAGGCCGTAAGACGTAAAAAGTGTCTTCCTTACGTTATCGTTTTTACGGTATTCGTGATCTGTGTGATTTACATATACCCAGGTCAATGGATCCTATGTAGGACCCTACAAGATCCTATGGGATCCTACAGATGATAGGATATCATAGGATTCCTATAGGAATCTTATGAATTTCCTATACAAATCCTATTATACGATCTTATATGAATTTTACCATAAGATCGCAACGAAAATCCTACTAGGATTCTTACTGTAGAGTTCCTATAAAATTCTATGAAATCCTCCGATAGGAGACAGAGAAAACGACGCCTTACGTCTTATTCCGCTAAAATACGGAATCAATGGAATAATCTTAATGTTCTTGGCGTAAATAAATAATCGTTAGTTTGAAAAAATCAACATAAAATGACTTTTATTCAAACGACACTTGGAGGACAAAGAATGGAAATGATAAGTGTGCATCACAGAACGTAGACGGAGGTGTTTTCTATGATATAACCACAAAGATTGTATTTTGAAGAGAATTTTCACATTTGCTGTTCTAAACTATCCACCCCTTTTTTTGCGCTAGTTCATAGCTTGAACTTGCCATCCTATGATAGAAAACATTATCACTGATATTATCGCCAACGCCTGGCTAAGAAGAAAAACAGTGCGTAACTGTTCGTACGTTTTTCGTTTTCTTTCTTTCGTTTCGTTATACAATCTCTTTTGTTTCGCTATATTCGAATCTCTTACGGCCCTTCGCTACATATGCTAGACACATTAAGACATTTTTGTCTTCCAGGACACATTGAAGGTACTTGTAAGACGCATTCTACGGCAGACACATCGTACAAGACACATTATTGTTTGGAATGTGTGGTAGTGATTCTGACATTCATAAACCAGTTTTTTCCTCGATTCTACCGACTAAGTACTCTGACTGTTGAATTCAACAGCACTGTTGATTCAGTATAAATGGAAATTTTCTGTTCTTATATTGCTAGTGTAGTGGTGATGGTTTACGTCCTTTTTCTGTTTTAATATGAATACTGAAGTTAAGGAATAATGTTATTTTCGGGTTTTTTTGTATGCTTTTTAGTGTATATTTTGTAATAACGACAATAAGTGGATAATAAGTTTCAAGTTTCACTGACGATTTATACTGAGATCTGTAATCTTCATTTAGCATAATATTGTATCAGGCAAACATTGAATATTTTTATAATTTTAAATATTGTTGATTGCCCGCCATAGTGAAAGTGCTCATAACATGAGTACGACTTACTGACACATTTGTGTATGAGTACTCAAAAGTCGTACTCACTTAATGCACTTACATGAATACTCATCTGAGTAAGTAGAAGATATGTATAATAAGTAAAAAAATGCATCAGGACTGATGAGTACTCGTCGCATTTTTTGCAGCAGAGTATGACTTTGAGTACATCAGAATCAATTAGAGAATTAATTTGAAATAAAATGCTAGAATCTTATTAAAGTCTACTTTTTTATCCCCAGATAGTACCGTAACCAGGTGCAATCTTCATTACGGCATCTCAGTCGTGAATCCTGATTATTAAAATTGAATATTTCTTATTTGTTTTGCTCAAATTTGAACAGATGCATGTTGAGTTATCATGTGCAATTATAATATTCTAGATTGCACTTATTTGTGTCACAATTAGGTTTAAATTTTTTTGTTTCAATAAGTACATAGAGCAAACATTTTTCTACCATATGAGACATTCCACAGCTCGAGAAGATTCTTCATAATCGCGTTACAAGACTTTTCCTAGATACTCCGATACCAGTTATATAACTATAGTAGATACTTACCTCTGGGTAGTATACCTGAAGGATCTTTAGGAAATCAAATTACCTTTCAATATCTTTTCACAGTTGTTTATATATCTTTTAATGTGTACTTATAGTCCAAAAAATACAATCGCGCAAATCTGGACTATCTGACTGTTGTGTTTCGAGTGATAGTTCAGTTTTTGTGAGACCTCTGAGGATGGTATTAAATTACGTATTACCTTAAAAAGTGTATTAAGCATCGAAGCTAAGTAAATTGTTTGAAATTTTACGTTATGAATTCACTAAAAGTTTCAAAAATTCTGTTTTTTTATTTGATGGATCTATCATAAAAGCAATATCATTTTACACTGTTTTCATATATCTGAACGTAGAAGATCTGCACTGAATTTTTCAAGTCATTTCATTATGCAATTTTTAAGATAATACGTAATTGGCCTAAAATTACAATCATGTTTTGCTTTCCGTTCTCACCAGGTTTTCTGACTTTTAGTTCATAACAACCATTGTCATAAGATGCAGATATAATCGATTTTTGATGGACTGTGCCAAGGGCCTTCTGGGCTATAAACAAGCATCAGTAAAAATAGCGATTTATGCTTCGTATGATCCTTTAAAACTACATATCCCATCCATTAATCTCAAAAACTGAAGAGATACTCAGTTGTACAAGGTTAACATGACTGTCTAATATGGGCTATTTAACCATGTAAAAAATAAAAGTATTTCTACTTGAAGTTTTTGAACCCAAATCTGGTCTTTCATTTAGACAAATATTTTTGAAATTTATTTTGCACTAAAAAGATGCTAAAAAATGTTATCTATCAAATAGCGAAAATTACAGGTTTCTGTTTATTTGGTTGCCATTTCCATTCATGGCAATTTCCTTTTTTAAACGGATAATATATTTTTTACTCACGCTTGGTTGCAGTACTCAAGCACTGCACCTGTTTCATCAGCCACAGTGTATGAATACAACCAACCAATCTATAAATGTTTTTCGTGTTGCTATTCAGTATTATTATTTCAAGTAAAATATTCGTTTTTTATGATGGTGTTGTTATGATCTCAAAATATATTCTGATCCGGTAAAAATCTTTCATTCGTTGCTGGTGTTTGAACAACTATAAGTTTATATATCTATTTATTTTTGCTAGGAAATATTGAACCGTTTGATCTTTTGATTTGTTATTTCCACTCGATTTCATTCTATTTGCTTGTATATTGTCTATTTTTCTTGTTGAACGAAACATGATTCACTCGAGAAAGAGAAAGAAAAACACAGTAAATTTGACTTTTTCTTGTCTTTTGTTTTCGTTTAAGAATTAGCATAAATACTCTCACAAGTTGTTATGTTTACGCTATAACGATTTTGAGATGACAATCGGTCATCTCTTTGACCAAGTAAGCGTATCCGGAACACAAAAAAAAAAGACAGAAAGACGAACACGCGAAACGTAATCGAATTAATCGAATAGTTTAACTTCCGATGATTTTTTTTTTGTTATGCCAATATAGTCTGAGCGTGAGAATATCGTTAGACAATCTGCGTAATCGTATTATGAAGATCAAAGATAAAGTTTCCTCCTACATTTCATCATTTAGATGTAGAATTTGCAGGTATAAACCACTACATACTTTAAAAGTGTCAACATGAAGTAAGAAGTGATGATTTGCTGTATGAAAAGGTGATACTAGTTTTTACTTTTTTTTATAATTAAAAAAACTTGTTCCGCATCATGATTTTAATTTATCAGATCTCTAGTCGTTAGTGTATGTATTAGCGATGAGTGAGTATAAGGCAATTGACCTCATCTGTATTTATAGAAAAGAATTTTGCTTTTGGCATGTAAAACACTGTTGTTGTTTTTTGTTATTCGTGTTCATAAGTCAAAACGAGATTGACAAGGTGTCGCACACAATTTAATTGAAAAATAAAAATAATATTTATTCATGCTCAATTGAATCGAAACACAGATAATTCTAATCCGTTTAATTAGAAAATGTGTGAGATTATTGCCTCTAGTATAGAAGAGAATTATCATCTATAGGAATTACTACTATTCTTCAACTTTCTACTGTAATTAACAATCTGTGCTACATTCATTTTTGATAACTGATGATATTTGTGTGGTCACTTAATATTCATCCTCATGCGTCTATCGGGAGTATTTAAATGAAGTTTTGAAATTTTTATTTCTAACATGAAAAAGAGAAAAGTCTCTTCATGTTTTCATCACATTCATTATCTTTGCTCTCTCTCTCTCTCTTTACTAATATTTTGACATCTATTGCGTTCTACGTCCTGTCGGCATCGCTTTTTCTCAAATTTTTTACATATTTTATGAAAAAAAAAATATATAAACCATACAGACTATCTATCTTTCATCACTAAAAACTTTGTTGTACGCGACAAAAGGATAATATCATTTTACAGTGACACTGGAAAGTTGTTATTATTGTTGTGATTTTTTTTTCTCTAAAAACAATCAAATCTCACGGGAAGAATGAGTTGCAACAAACTAAAGTTGTGAACAACGAATCATATTTTTCTTGTTCAAAGATCGGAACAATCACTTTACTCTCTCTTTCTCTTTAAGTGATTAGTGACCTGAGCATTTTCCATATATATATATAACATTGTATGTACTGTATATAGATTTAATTCCAAAACGATCAATCATTTCTTTTTTTGACATACATACACTAGTTAGAGATAGATAGATAGAGAGAGAGGGAAAGTGAAAGAAAGAGATAGAGATCTAATAATGCAATGCAATATGAAATTATGGTACATTTCTTTTACTCTTCAATAAAGAGAATAGTTATTTTAAGTGCACATGTTGCATTGATGATCAAAAGAGATAACATTAGAACTTGTCGATAAGAGTGTTAACTGGTGCCAACTGAAAATTTCAGGTTTTTAACGGATACATACAGAAATTAGGCAGCACTTTATTTGATATGTTTGATTTACCACTAATAATATGCGCTAACAGTATATTTCTCTCACAAATTTCAATTACTAGACAGTACAGTTGAAACACTTGATATCTCTATGTGATTTTTAGCGACAAATTTTATTCAAATGCTGTTATGTGGCATATTCACGAAACACGTAGGTATATGTGTACAAAAATTGATACATTACACAAGCATCAAATACTGAGTGCAATTTCATGAAAAATATTCAGAATACTCACCATTTTAAAAGCATACGTTTTAAAATAAGATTCATAAGTCGATTGACACTTAGTCCCCTATATGAGTCTCAAAATGAGATCTTTTAATGGACCTTATCCTCCGTCTTATTTTAACGCCGATAAGTTTATGTCTTATTTTCCATTGTATAGCGTATTTTTCTAAAATTTGGTCCTACTAAACAAGATCATGAAGGTAAGCCAGTATTGACATTATAACTAGTGTTAACACTTTCAGAAAGAAAAATGAAATAATTCCAAGTATATTATCAAGAAATCAGTTTCTCGTTATATAGAAGTGATGAATACAAAACAAAAGAGCAGAATGATCCCTTTTCTTTTATCATCCCAAAGTAAGACCGTAAGCATTAGTCTTGCAGTAAGCCGAATGTCTGTTTAGAGTGAGTTACACCTATTTCTTAATAAAAAAAGGTCAGCAGTTTTCTTCTATGTGTAACAAATGAGGAAATCAGTAGAAATTCAACACTTGTTTTTAAGATGAAAATCAGACAAGATGGAAATCTTTTGTCTTTTTTTCATTGCTCAGTTTTCTGTTACTCTTTAATACTTTAGATAAGAAAACCTTTCTTTTAATACATAAAGTAAGAAAATCTCTTACAGAGTCATCTGTGCTTTATTCAACATAAACGCACTCAAACAATTTTTTAAAGTATGCGATTTGGTAGCTGAGTTTGAAGAGAAACATTATGATTCACCGGTATGACATGAACTTTGTTTAGTATGAAGACGCAGCGATCTTATTAGTTTTAAATAAACAAGAAACAAGAGTCTTCTACTCATCGATTCTCATCATCAGTAGTTCTAGGTGACTTATATGAAATTGAGCAAGCATGTTAACAACAAATCATATTCGATGTAAAAAAAGACGAAACACCAATCAGATTTTTTTCTTTATTTAGCCAAAGAGAAAATTCCAATTATATGTCACCACCTATCATCACTTCCCCCACATAAATATCCTTATCCATTTTTTTTATCGTTCTTTTTTTATTTTGTCTTTGTGAAACCAACTACTATCTTTAATTCAAATGACAGTTCTGTACATAGTTATATCACATTCTCTCTTTTTGTGTCTCTCTGTCTCTCTTAACCATCTAGTTCACCATTTTCTTTATTATGATTGATCATTTGTTTGAAATGATAGGAAAAAATAAAGAGTCAAAAATAGAAATACAAGTGTTGGGCCATTTTATTCTATTTTTTGCTCTTCATTTCCTTGTAGTTGTGGCATGTTGGTTCTCTTTTTCTTTACTTTATTTATTACGATCTCCTATTTCAGCACTGCATTCAACTGTTCTATAGTTGAAAAATAAAATCTATTTGTCTTTTTTTTTCTTCATATTTAGATTGATGAGTATATTGAATGTCCTTGTCTAGCTAAAGCTTCGTTTAGTCCATCATATATAGATAAATTTATTTGTTGTCTATCTTGATGAATCGATCTATTCATATTAATAATAATCATATTGTAAATAATTCTATAACTCGACAACAACAACAGCAGCAGCACCTTAATCATTCACGTCAAGAACAAATACAACAAAATGATCCACTCACATCATCATCCACCATTTTACATCAACATCATGAAGCATATGTCACTTGTTCGAGTAAAACATCATTCTCAGTTGAAAACACTAACTATTCACTAGATGAAAACTATGATTGTATATATTCTCAGAAATGTTTTAAATCTCCACCAATTGCCACCACATCATCACCACCATCGGACAATATTTATTTTTCTAACAAACTTTTATATTTAACTTCAAATGATATCAAATTACGACAAAAAGATAAGACATGTTCAACAAATAATATAGCGTACGATTCATCGGATTATTCATATTTATCAAATGATAATGATATTAATCGTTCAACGAATGATGATTATTATTCACCCTCGACAGGAACAGTAGCTATAAGAACGCCATCATCGTTACTCGATGATCAGACCACTCTCTATTATAATGATTATCCGAGTATAACATCAAATACTTACAATCAATTTTCAATTGATACTAATCCAAATTCGTCATGGTTAACATCCAACGAATCTAACTATCCCATACAATCATTTGAACAGCAATGTGGTTATACAGCAACAACACCTACAACATGTGATAATTACATTAATACGCCAAAAGTTTATAATACGACCGATACAAATAGCTCAAATAACAAAGATAATCATAATCCTGATTCTTTGTCGTCGTCATCAGCGCATAGTGACCAATATACGATACAAGAACCGCCAAGGGACAGAATAAGTCCAAATCAAGTACTACTACAACAACACATTAGTGAAACACGATACAAATGGATGCAAGTCAAACGAAATCCAGCTAAAACAGCAGGTAAATAGAGCTGCCCGCACAACAATGTATATAATTTGAATGTTCTCTTCCATTACAATTATCTAACTTTCAAAAACCTTGATAGCATTATTCAAAAACTAAATCTAAAACTAAAGAGAAGCCTATTGTTAGTTTAAACTTTGTACCAGATGCTGGCACTGAACTAAAACTTCAATTGGTCTTCTGAACAATATGAGAAAAAACCGTATTTTTTTTTATATCCCTAAGAATGTTGAATTAGCCAATCAATAGTTCACTTGTTAATAAACAAATACATGTATTAATGAGAAAATGAAAGAGGATGACGTTTGCTTTTTTTGTAATTAATTAGATCTTGCGTGTCTAAAAATTGTGGTCATGTCTGTCAATAGTAACTGAACATTTGCCAACCAAATTAAGGATTTTTGTTAGCGTCTACGTGTAATCAACAAAATAGATAAATGCTCATCGTCTGAAATCGAGTATAGCGAACAGACAGATAGATACGTTCATTAGACAATAGTGATAAATACCTTTTAAACAGAGCAATAACACAGAGAGAATTGCACCTGTATGTTGCATTTGTATGAGAAAAAAATTCTGTCTGATTTTTATTTTCATTTTAACTAACAAAAAAATATCATGTGCAATTTTTTTCTTCTCTTTCGTGTTTTTTTTGTTTATACTCGGATGGAACTGCGTAAAATTTATAAAAAGCTATCTAGACATAAATATGAAACAAAAAATATAAAAACTAACATTCATTTTTGGTGGCTGAGAACAGTGTCTGAAGGTCAAAGATGAAGATAAGACTGTGTCTAAAATTAGCCAAGACTCTTAGTAAAATTGATCAGTTTGTTTTCTTATAATTATTAGATGGTTCCATTTATTCTAAAATTTACTTTCCTCCAATGAAAAAGAAAAACTGCCGACTACTATTTCTCATAGGATGATTGATTGAGTTTGAGTACACTGTAACGCTTGTCTCACACAATATTCAACAAAATGAAAAATAGAAGAAAAGAAAAATATTTCCTATACAAATAGACAATATGAAACTAAATTAGATTCTTCTTTCTCTTTTATTCAAATATAACAATCTGAATTTGACAAAGATAAAGTATGTGCTCATATACATTTAATACCGTTGAGAAATTAGATTATGTTTGACTTACTCACACTGACACTTTTTAAACCATCCTATCACAACCATTATTAGCTGTATACCTTTAACAATAAGATTTTGATGGTTATTTGAAAATCATAACTAGATAATCATGTAAACTTTTTTGACATATTTCTTTGTTAAATTTATAACTTGTATCCAAAATCTGTTTGTAATAATTGCTTTAAATAGATTCAAATGTAGTACCCAATCAGAATTAATCTTTTATATAAAGATAGTCTAGTTCATTGAGATTGGCTCTAATATACTTTCGGATTTGTGATGCGATATACACTCTGATTCATTGTCCAATGATTAGATTAGAAGATGTTCTTGTTACGTAATATTCAAAATTATATGCTTTTTGATGATATAACATTGATAAATACTTCAAACAATAGAAGAAGAAAAAAATCAAACTATATCAAATATGCGGTAGGCATCTAAAAGATAAAGATAGAAAATTATGATGAGCTATAGTTTATGTCACCCTACACATTTTATAATTAGTAAATACGAATGAAAAATATGTACATTAACAAAGATATACGTCAATTTTTAAAATAGATAAAATCAGATGGATCTATGTTGAAAATTTAGGATCATATTACTGTAAATTTATCATCGTAGAGACTAGTAAAAGATAGCGATTGTGAATAGTTAATTATGTTTTCTAGGTAAACCAACTGATTACAATTATCAAACACCAAATACCATTAATAATCTTAATTCAAATGCTGGACGAACAAATTTTACGAATAAACAATTAACAGAATTAGAAAAAGAATTTCATTTTAGTCGATATTTAACACGTGCAAGACGAATTGAAATTGCAGCATCATTAGGTTTAAATGAAACACAAGTTAAAATTTGGTTTCAAAATCGACGAATGAAAGCAAAAAAACGTTTACGTGAAAGTAAGTGAAAACGATGATTACTTTTATTATAAGCATTTGTATGACACTAATGTCAATGACTTAGAGACATTCCTTCATTTTCGAATTCTTTCATCGAAAATTGTTGTATATTATGAGAGTTCTTTTGTCAATGAGAATTATCAAAGTGCTAGAGAACTTCGTATGACATTTCAAAAATTGGTAAAACAACTTTTGATCATAAAAGTATGAAAATATTGTCAAATATCAATAGAAGCAAATATAGGTTCATTTTCAAAAATTTAGGGGTAAATTTTTATAAAATGACATTAAACTTTTCGTTTAATTTTGATGAATTTTATAGTTGAATAAATAATGATCAGAATAGAATATTTGTTCTCTTATTGGTTATTAAGTTGTCATTCTACATTTTCTAGTAATTTGCAAATTCTTGGAGACGAAGGGCTCTAAAATTTCTCAAACTTTGTCAATTTTTTTTAGTTGATGTACTGACATTTGAATCAATATAAAGTAGCTTACGTTCTTTGGTATAATTTATTTATGTATCAATATTCTATAATGATATGTTAAACAGCAAATGGTCGAAGACTAAATTTTACACAAGACGATAGGAAAAATTCAAAGAAATACTTATTAGAATACAAATGTTACAGTGTTAAAAGGGAATTTTTGTACATAAATTAAATCACAGCATAATTGTAGAAATATTCATCTTTTATTTTTCTTATGCGTGCTTTACAACTACGTATCTTTTCATTTCATTTGTTTTTAATATGTTCTAAATATTTATTGTATGTGTTATTATGTTGTGTACTCTTCTTGAAAACTACTATTCTCGAAAAAATAAATAAATGTAGCCTATCGCCTTCTAAATTAAGAATAGGTGTTAGTCACTACTGGTGTCTCAACCGTTTTTTTAGCTTTGTTCATCAGCAGCACTAGACAAAAACTCGAGAGATGCACAACAACTAAAGTTAGAAACAGAAAACGTGTAATGCACAGATCATAAGATGATTCTGATGGATAATAAAACGCGATGATTCGATTTCAAATCTTTTTGCTTTATCCATACTTTAACGGCTCACATCTAAACAAATCAAGTGTGTTATGAGTACACTGGAATACAAAGTCACTGTGGATGGAATTTACTCACTGGACAGATTCTACAATAACTGATACAGTTTATTTTTTTAAAGTGCATATATATCATCTAGTATCAAATTTGTGTTTCAACGATACTCATGTCAAAAATGGCGATGGATGTGTCCATAAAGAGTCGAATATAAGGAGCCCATGTATGATCCGTTAGTTGATGAGTGAGACAAAAAATTTGATTTTTGAAAATACAAAGCTGATTTTGTCCTCAAAAACAGTTCGGTTCACACATCAACGATGTCGATTAAGTATTTGTTTCGTCACTTAACTATAAACACAAGTTTTAGTGAGTAAGTCGTGGTTAGCAACCCATTTAGATTCATTATTCATCTCCTATATGATTACAGACTCTGTTATCTATGTTTTTTCTCAAATTTAAACTTGGTAGAACGATGATAGCAAAACGCTATAATTTATCTGGTTATAGACGATGAAAATAGTCACATGTAAATTTAATCGATCAGTTGTTTTATCAATATTAATTGCTACGACTACTTTGGAGTCGAATATCTTTTTCTGGTATAAGATGTGAAAAAATCATCTAGAAATAATTAACAACATTTATGTAACTGGGATTAAAATCTCACAAGTACAAACTTTTCAAATACTTCCACTAAGAATTTTGTATCACTTTAAATTTGGTTTCTCCAGCATACAGCCAGGGCGGCAGATAACGGGAGAGTGTAGGACACTGTACCTACCTACCTCCCCCCCCCAAATAATTGAAAATCTGTTGTTATTTTATCAATTATTCCTCGTATAAAATTATTTTATGAATTTTACACTACCTCAGACAGAAAAGTTGTTTTACACGCTCCCTTCCCTAATGTTTGGCTGCTATTTACGACTCTGCATACAGCATTAATAAACTTAAATTATTGTTTCACAATTTATATCTGCTTGTTTCTCAAATCAATTCGATGCGAATTGCTTTGATCTTGGTATCAGTATTTACTCCAAAACATACTCTCAAACTAAACGAAAGATGTCTAAGAAGATTAAAACAAATTCTAGGAAGACTCAGATTAGTACTGTTTTATAAGTCGTGGTCATATCATTAGTCTGATAGCGTCTGATCAGGCTAACTTTTTTGAAACTTGTTTACTAACTGAACTTGAAACTTGTTGCTACGAGATTGCAGCTCGTGCGCAAGGATGATTTTTCGAAAGTTAAAAATATAACCTTTCCCGTTTTTTACCAGCAATAGTCCTTGGTCTGTGTTACTAAAAAATCTAAATGCTGAGGTTTAGTTGTAAGGAGATAGCCTTTGACAAATCTGCAAAGTTAGGTGAAAATTGTTATGCTGGTGAAAATTGGTTTCAAACATTGCTGTGTCTAGATTTTTGCTAACAGTTTGAGGAAATAAATAAATCATTGACTAAAGCTTTAAAATTTGATTCTAACGCGCTCTTTATATTAACACTGCATCTGTTAACATGAAGGAAAACGCATTCTACTTAACCCATTTTCGTGATTTTTACAACTTTCATGTATGTAAGCATGCGGATCCGAAGGATTGACCGCAGCACCACATTCACCGCATGCTGAATTTATGTATGTACATACGCATGCTGAATTTTTCTTATACTTGTCATTTCGCTAGCACAGTGGGCATCCAGGCGGACATTTAGTGAAAAGTCGAAAGTGCGGTTTTTTAAAATTAAAATAGTGGCAAAGATTAGGTGCCGCTAATTCAAAAATCAAGTGGAAAAGCTTTTGAATTTTCAAACACATATTCTGATTCGTCGGATGCTGCTGATCACGAATCTGATCTTATTTTTTCGATTTGACCGAGTTTTCATGCAGAAAATCTCA